TTAATATTCTATTTATCACTTATCAAAAATTAAGAAGTGAATTCAAAATGGGTATCTGATAAAGTATAATAAATTATCTAGAGTGATACAAAGTTGTCTAACTTAAAAAATAAATTCAGACACCAATATATTTAAATCAGTCATTAATTAACGCAGTACAAACGTTTGAAGTGTTGTTAACGTGACGTCACAATGCAGCGCCAAAACAGCGCGTGCAAAAAACCGTCAAAAAAGAAAACTATTTCACTGTTGCTTTTATAACACTATAAATAATCCGTTTTTCGCTTGTGATAAAATAAGAATACAAACAATGTTTCCAATATTTGTTACTCTCAAATTGATGTGCATCAACCGACTAAAACGTCTTTAAGTATAGGCTATGTAACACCGCAAACTGTCCGTACCGCAAAACGTACGTATATGGACGTTTTGCGGCGCATATCATACACATTTTTCTGACGTAATTTTTGCGGCAAAAAGGCATGGTCCTGCCGCATAACGTCCATATTTTAAAGTTTATATAATTTTCGTTAATTTTGACCAGTTATTACCAGGTGTTTTTGTGTGTTAATTTCAGCTCACCTGAACTAGTATGCGCCTGTCTGTCTGTCTGTCCGTCCAAATATAGCTTGTTACCACTCTAGCATCCACATACCCTAAGCAATATGGTCAAGAGTTATCTGTCCTTGAATTACAATATCTGTTATATTTCACATTGTTACCACTCCAACGCTTTCATTTCTTCTTTAATCTTGACAATTTTCAACAGAATATCTATGACCATAAAATCTCAACAAAGTTAGAATATAGGCTAAATCTAACAAAAAACAATAACAAAAAACGCACTATATATCACCTTGTTAGTGCTCTCGTTTCTTCTCCATTCTTAAAGTTTTTTATACAGAATATGTATAACAATAAGGTCTCGATCAAGTTCATTTATGAGCTAAAACGACTGAATATTTCAAGGGTAATTTGCCTTTGAATAATAAAAATAAAGACATATTTTAAAGTCAAATTATTGAATTATTGTGATAAAACTGCCATTTCTTTCTTATCAATGATCAGATGTCATTCATACATTTATGACAGGATGGACATCTTGAATAGTTCAACTATAATATTGGCCTTGAAATGACATTGGCCTCAAGGTCACTATTGAATTTTGCTTAAATCTTTGTCATTTACAGATATTTGGATATTGATGACCATTTCAGACGTAGAATTGAGTACTGATATCAGTTACCCAGATTCTGAATATGAAATTTACTTGCTTTTTATTTGTAATATTCAATGCTATCTACCCTTGTCATGTGGAGCCTTTATAGGCAGGTGGGCGATATAAGGCCACCGTGACCTTTTTGCTTTGTTCAATTATAAAATTACATTGTTCAATTATAAAATTACATTATGGCATTCAAACAAAACGCTTACATTACGATATTTTAAAATATGCTTTATTTTTTATCAATAGAACACATTGAACTTCGTTTTCGTCATTTCCTATGCGGAAGAATGTTTGTTATAATATACTCTATTACATATTATCTATGTAACTTATAGGCGAAATGTTTTGTTCTTTAGGCGATAAAATAATACGGTTTTAGTAAAGGGACGGACTTTCCGACTAACCTATAGACTAAATCATTTTTCAAAGTTATATTTTATGACAATTTTAAACTTGCATTTACTAGATTTGTAGTTCAAAATATTTGAGCTGCGTCAAGCAGAAATAAGCATTATCGTCATTTTTTTCAACATATTGATGATGTTCAAAAATTACAATCTCATCTTTGAGAAAATATTTTTAAAGTTACAGGGTTAGTTACTGACCCGATACGGGGATACACGGTTCTGTAGGAAACCATAACTGGACTCAACCCACAGAACCGTATATAACGGTATCTAACCCTTAAACGATTCTATCACGCCGAAAACCTTCCTCATCGTAATGTAGCATAACCAGGGAGACCATACCACGTGACAATATGTTAATACAGCAAGTAAGAAGAAATATCTTTAAAAAAGATAAACGGCGTTGATGGAAAAGATTTTCATGTATAAGAAAGAAAGAAATAGAGCGGCAAAGCGGACGCAGTTTAGTAATTATATTTTACTTGTTATATATGTTGCCAAACCATCACTGTCTTCTTAGCATGGCCTAATGATTAAGCAACCGAGTCATGGAAACCCCATAACTTCATTCAAGTGTCTGTCCAAAAATGTTAAAGCTGTTGCAACAATTTCGTCTGGTGATTATACGTCGATCAAAGAAGCACTGTGTTACATTAAGTCGTAATCTACATTTATTCAATTTCAATGCAATACCTCTAGTAGAATTATATAATTCAAGATGAATAAATGTCCTTGAAGTATTCGTGAATATATTTTACTACAAAAATTGTGGACGATATGCGGCGCAAATACACACTCTCGACGCAAAATGTACCAAGTACGATATGCACCGCAAAACGTTCACATGTGTACGATATGCGACGCAAAACGTCCACACGCGAACGTTTTGCGGTACGGACGTTTTGCGGTGTTACAAGGCTATAAATTTGACTGTAAAAAGTTAGTTATGTAGTGTACGAAAAAAATATTTATCAGTTAAGTGTTACATTAATGAGTAGATATATATTAAACTCAGACCTTTTTTATGATGTACATTTTAAACATTTTAAGGGAACATACTTTATCACAGGACTTGAATCTTATTATTTATTTTTATTATCTTATTATTATTTTTTGGCCAGTGTTATCAATTTGATCCCATTATAAACTTAGACTGCTTCGAAGAAAGTGTCAATAATCAATAGAATCAATAACATATAAATGAGTACGCAGTATCTTGATTTTTTGAGAGTGTACACAGCATCATAATGTTTATTTCCTGTAAAAAGTTCGTTTTAAGACATTTTTCGTACATAAGAAAAATGACAATGATTGAAAATATATTGATGAAACAGGTTCTACAATAAAATAACTTTCAGTTTAATCGACAATTTCTCAATTTCTATAACATTTCAACGCCGGGTGTACGCACTATCCAGAATCAAAATCGCATACAACACGAAATACTGACAAGAAAGGGAAGACTTGTGTCAAGATATAAGCAATATTAAAACTAGAAGTAAGGGCATCTTCTTTGCAAAAGAAATTAAATTCAAATCTATTCTGATTGCTTTATATGACTCGTTTTTGTTCAAAATACCGGTTGAAAAAGTGTTCGCGGTATCAGAATTTTGAGGATGCGCGCGCATGGTATGACCCCCTTGATCAATAGATCTCAGTTAAGCGATCAAGGGCCATCATGTCGTATTGTTATAATTTTATATTATTAAAGTACATTATTGTTAAGACTTAATTGCAAAAGAAAGGAGAATTTAGTTAGAAAAATGTTGATGACTTTGCTTAAATTTAGGATAAATTCATAGAATAAATATGAAACACTTTAATTACAACAAATAATAATCAACTTTCAAGGTTTTATTGAGAGAAATAAAAGAAAAAATAATCTGAGACGCATACAAACGATATATTTCACAAGCTAAAACAACAGTCTGAGGTGAATGCAAAATATATACTTTTCAAATTAAAACTACATTGTTAGATCCATACAAACGATATACATTGTGTTTACAAACTAAATCTACAATCTGAGATACATACAAAAGATATTGTTGTTTGGTTGTTTGATTGGGTTTTATGTCACAGGTCATATGGCGACGTTCTAGCTTTACTGGTGGAGGAAGACTTCAGGAGCGCCCTTCCGTGCATTATTTCAGACACGGATGGGCACCTTACTAGAACCACCGACGTTCCGTCAGCTAGCTGGATAGCTTCCTCACATGAAAGAATCCAAAGTCCCTGTCGGGATTCGAACCCACGGCGTTAGGTGCCGAGTGGTTTGAAGTCAACGACCTTAACCACTCGGCCACATAAGATATAATTTTCATACTAAATTTTCATACTAAAACTACTTGTTAACTGAGGTGCATACAAAATAAATAATTTTCTCACTAAAAGTACAAACGTTGTGTCATACAAAACAAAAGGTTAATCTACAAACAAACTACAATCTGAAGTATATACAAAAGATAAAAAATAATTTCCAAACTAAAACTTCAATCTGAGGTGCAAACAAAAGATATATATTATATATAATTAACAAACTGAACTTACATTCTGAGGTCCATACAAAAGATATTATGTTGAAACTTAAACCGCAATCTGAGGTGCATACAAAAAATATAATTTCCAAACTAAAACTTCAATCTGAGGTGCAAACAAAAGATATATATTATATATATAATTAACAAACTGAACGTACATTCTGAGGTCCATACAAAAGATATTATGTTGAAACTTAAACCGCAATCTGAGGCGCATACAAAAGATATAATTTAACCACAGTCTAAGGTCCATACAAGAGAATAAAATATAAAGTAAACCTATATTCTTATGTTCACACAAAAGATCTAATATTTATAAAGTAAAACTACATTCTTATGTCCATACAAAAGAGCCAATATTTATAAAGTAAAACTACATTCTTATGTCCATACAAAATATCTAATATCTATAAAGTAAACTACATTCACAATATACAATGTACGTTATAAGCATTTCTATAGATGATTATATTATAAAGAAAAACATGTAATAAAAAAGGATTTCTAGCAAATATGAAATATTTACAGGAACTTTGAATAGTTCGGAAGATGACGTTAGTGCCATTACTATTAACGGTTTGCGCTGTAGTTACATCATTATACGTCATGTTTTTGTGTTGTTTTTTATGGTACCGAATTTAAAGTTAATCTTCATTATAACATCAACAGACCTTGCATTGTCAATGATTGTCTTTAAAAATAAGCTGGCTGATTTGCAAACAGACACAAGGAGATAAATGTATACTTGCACCTTGATTTTCCCCAGTAATTGTTTATTCTATGAAATTTGTGCATTCTGTTACATTAAGAACAGTCTGGTGTTTTCTACACCATTGACATTTTCAGTGCTTTATCGGATGCCAGAAGGTGTTTGAACTCGGAGCGAAAGGTTTCGTAATCTATATAATATGGCAACTTCAACATGTTTGAACACGTGTGAACCATCGGTAATCTCAGTTTAGTGATGCCTAGTTTAATCTTAATAGTTATCTTCTCCCGTGGTACAGATTTCTTTCCTGTTACAAATTGAAGGAAAGTCTCCAACTCTGGTGTCGTCATTTCTGTCAACAGGTCTTTTAGAAAACCGAAAACCATACGTTCTATTCCAGAATCCAAGGGCAATGGTGTTTTCAAGCGGGCGATAACTCTTTCTGGTGTTGGTTTTAGTGCACGAAAAAGAACGCTTACTGTCTTCAAATGGACATTCGACCAAAATCGTTCCATGTGCGACTTCGGTATTCCTGACCTCATTTTTTCTAGTAATGGTTTTGGACGTATACATAACACATGGCGTGCCAATTGGGTCACGTGATACCTAAAATTTTCGGCTGTTATTTTAATTGCATATTCGTATCTCTCAAATATGGTCATTAGTTCGTCTGCTTGATCAGAAGTTAAACTACTGTAATTGTTTATTGCCGTGGTAACCAAATTACGATCATGGCTGTCCAGAAAGTACAGGAAATCTTCAAATAGATTCTCAGCCGAAACATCCGTTGTTTCATAGATCATCGCAATAATCGTGCTTTTACACATATGTATCGGAAATTCTTTCATAACAGCAATGGAATGGGATAATATCCTGCCAAGAACTTGATACTTTGAATCGTCTGTGAATCGTTGAGGGGGAAGGTACGGCACCACTGCCTCGCAACCAATGAAGAATTCCTCTTGAGCTCGGTACCAAAATGTTGTAAACATTTCGTTAGTGACACCACCACAGTCCATGCCTTCCTCGCCAATAAACTTCACAGTAATGCGAGACGTTGCCAAATCTTCTTCAGAATAATAAACTATAAGTTTCTCTAATATATTTTCTCTTGACACCCGAAGTGGTATGACAGCACCGCCTAACTGTCTTTGGTGACTGGTTAGCACTGAAATTTAGAAATCTACAAGTTGAAAACATAACTTTCAATATATGTTAAGAAGTCGTGTACTGAAAGTGCTAAGCTATAGTTGGCAGTTTTATTTAAAATTATTGTTGACCTTTCATGCAATATTTCAATGGTTCTTTCTATTTAATATGTCATGGTAAATCGCAAATTATTTGCATGTTTAAAAATATTATCTACGGAAAGCCTTTCTACCGTGTTTACTTCTAAATGCGGTATATCAATTGCTGAATGCATAAAGCCGAGTGCTGAAAACGAAATGTCAGTTGGTAAATGCATAAAGCCGACTATGGAAAGCCATTCTGCCATGCGAATTGCTATTTGCGAATTACTATTTGCGAAATGACAAATGCGAAATGATATTTGCTAATGATAAATGCAAAATGCTTATTGGTACAAGGTTATTTCAGATCAATTTCCACCATTAATTCAGACCGCTGTCTTCCAGGAAAGTAGGTAGTAAACAGATATTTGCGAAGTAAAAACAAGATAAACAGTAATAAAGAAAAAAGAAAAATTTTCACATGTTTGGGTTTTTTAAGCTTCAATTAAGGCGTGTTGAAGGATAAGATCTACGACATTATCCTTAAAGTTCTTAATGCAGGGGGTACTTTGTACCAGGAATGACCAGATATTACAAATAATATTTACATAATAATGTTTACGTAAGAAATTTCTTTTGTATGAAGTGTTTTTCCTATTAATTTTATACAAAATATGACATATTTTGAGGAAAATTAAAGTTTTATTTACCATATTCACATAAATGTAACCAGTGGTTTTGCTAACGGTTTGGAACCAACATGATATTTTAAATGTGTGTGCCAATGCTTGTCAAATGTTTTTACTGTGTGATAAATATTGAATAGAACTTAAATTGACCATTTATGTATGTTCTTAACTTTTTATCAATTGTTTAAAATTCATTTATGGTATTTCGCTTGTATATAGTGTAAATAGTTATTAAACTTAATAAATATCCAAGCTACAGTTTTAAATACTTTTTATATGAAAATGTCTGTAATAGATTGTGCTTTGTGAATATTTAATCATCTCAAAATGACCAAAATGTCAAATATTGTTGGAAATTCCATGAGACGCTCCATTTTAAGGAAACATTTGCTTTCTATTTGCTTGCTTGCTAATATAAATAATAACATTGTATACTCTTTCAAAACATTTTATAGGTAGTGCTCCTATTTTAGAAAAACTTAAATGGAAATTCCTGTCCTTAAAAGCATCAAGAAAGATGCCAACAAGTTCTCTAGGTGTTGCAACAAAAAAGAAAATGAAGGTATGATTTTTAGCTCCAAGAATATTTCAAGATATTGTACTCACCCTGGTGTCGGCAATCGCGTCAGCTTCACAGCTTGGTTAATTTTTTCGGGCAAGTACAGTAGCCATTGTTTCAAAGATATTAGTTTAAAAAAATACTCATTATGACAGCATGCAGCTTTTATTGTAGATAAAGGTTTAAAATTTTGACCAAAGCCTCACTGAAAAGCCATCCATAGTTATCTGACAGTTCCTATTGTTAGTAGTAAAAACTTAGCAATAAGTTCTAGATAAATGATCAACCCGAACCAAAAAATACATACAAAAACTGAAGACTGGGTTTGATTTAGACTATTCATTGACATTAATGGTAATGAACACTGCCAATGCCCTGTGGCAAGTAACTATAAATATTTACTGTTATTGTTTCGTATTGCAGGCTGAGGACTTCTTGATACGGTGTGGGGTGAAAGAGAACAGAGCTGGAGCCTAAGTTGATGCGCTCTATAAAACACAAAGTATTGAAACTGCACTAAGGTTGTAATGATGACTATGAAACTGTGAGAAACAGACTGCTAGTAGATTTCATGATGAATGCTAAAATGAGGGTTATATAGTCCTTTGAATTATGGTGGACGAGATGTTTGATGAAAATAATTTTTCTGTTTTTTACTACATTCACCACAATAAGAAGTATGTTGGAGCCACAAGATTATACATGGGTATGCAAAACAAACCACTGATGTACTTCAGTGACTCTGAGGAAAGTGTGTCCAGCGGAAATATCATCAAAACGAAGCAAACCGGGAAATGTAGGTTGAGCTAATCCGTCATCGGAGCAAAGTGGCTCAGCAAATGCGCAAACGGAGAAAAGTGTGTCAAGAGAATTCAATGACTTGAAAAGTAGAGGTGATAATTTAGAATCAGTAGATCGATTACGTCGATGCTAATAAATTGTGTCCAGTATATGCCACCGATCCAAAAAATAGTCTGTTACCTGTGAAATGTGATGTGACTTGCTGGAATCTTATGCCAGGACTTAAATAAAATGATGGTCATTAAAGTAATGGAGCATTTTTACCTTCTTTGTTTCAATGTTAGCTTTTTCTAATGTAACTATTATTTAATATTTAAACTTTTTTATACTGATATTTTAAATTTTGATTGTATCTCTGTCAAAATCTCTAATATAGTGACAACTTTGAATACTTGAGCTTTGGCTGTAATACGATCAGCATTTGTTTTAATTCTGTTCAAAAATACAAAAGAAATTATTTCAAAAGTTTGCTTTATTTTTTTTCTTCAGAAAAATGTTTTTGCACTGCCCTCTAAAGGTCCCTTCATATCTAGTTTTCTTTTTTATTTATTTACATGTTGAATAGTTTAGTGTCATATTAAATAAATATGTAAGGAAATGAACGCTTTCATAGTCCTTTCTTTCAAGACATTTTGTTAGACGAAAATATATTTGTTTAAAATTTTGGGGATTCATATAACAATAATTAATAATGTTAGTCCTAATGCTAGTACATGTACTTCACCTCATATTTTATGTACAAAAATGGTAATGGTGTGGAGTTTCCCGATACTAGAATGAGTTGTTGTGTACCTGGATTTTGTTCAATTAATGATGTTGTCTGATTAACTGGCTTTTATTATTACTCAGTTTGAATATGTAAGAATTATTACCCAGCAAACATTACATATAGGACCGATGTCGGCCCGATATCATCTTCAATGTCGGCCCGATATCGATATCCGAAGTCGACTCGACATCGGATGTGCAACCCGACAGAATATTGACTTTTATGAATGAAACTTTTGAATAAAAGAAAGAGAAATGAAGTTGTTTTTTCACTATTGTATGGGACATTTATCATGTTTATTAGTTATGAGTACAATTTAACAGAATTTATGTTCGAGTTGATTCTGCTTGTATTATTATTTCAGTCTTTGCTGTGTAATTTTTTTATTCTTATATGCAGTCATTTGATGCCAAAACAACAATATGATGCTACATGTATGTTTTCCCTTGAATGAGTCCGAATAAGTACAGGGTTCAACTTCGTTGTCCGTCTGTCTGTCTGTCTGTCCGTTTGTCTGTCCGTCACCCTTTTGTGTCCGCTCCACAACTGCTATAAGAGGTATCCACTTGAAACTTGATAGGAAGCTATATCACATGAAAAAGTGCAGAGCAAAAGAACCATAACTTTTCCTTTCATAGTTTATGAGTTATTGCCCTTTGTAAATTTCTATATTAAATTTTTGTCCGGGCTATATCAAAAAGTATAATAGATATCATTTTGAAACTTTGTAGGTAGGTTAATTACATATATGAGCCGCGTCATGACAAAACCAACATAATGTGTTTGCGACCAGCATGGATCCAGACCAGCCTGCGCATCCGCGCAGTCTGATCAGGATCCATGCTGTTCGCTATCGATTTCTCTACTTATATAGGGGGCGTGGACGGTAACTTGCAATTTCCATTACCGTCCATGAACAGGCTCAATCAAACCGAGCCTGCAACATTTTCAATTTTGCCGTGTTGGGCTTTCTTTAGGGATTCTGTATTTTATCTATATTATGATCACATCCGTGTTATTTGTGCCGTGTGGCGGCTGTAAAAAGTCTCCCCGTACATTTAATCAATGATGTTATATTTTCGATCCTTGAAGATCGTTCAGCACGACATTATTGTTGTGCTTGTGGTATTTTTTGTTTCAACTTTTCGGCATTTTCTATTTGGGTGGTTCCAATATTCCTACTTGAATAATGTTGAATCACCCTTAGGATATGTTGCCTGCTTTATAAATTTGTCTTTTGACGTCTTATCTGTGATATGCAGGCTTCATAACCTCAGATCCCCTTTCAAAATTCCATTTTATTTAGTTCCGCCCATTGTTTTCTCGTTTAGGGCACACGCATTCTTTTACTTGGGGACCATACGCCGCTTTTCATGGAATGACACTACTGTGTCACATTGAAGGTTCCATGATAACCGCCGTATGAACACATCTGCGGATGTTTCTAAATTCAAATTTCACCATTTTAGTGATTAAATGTTGAATTCTGCTTAAGCCGGTGCTAGGGGGCGTGGACGGTAACTTGCAATTTCCATTACCGTCCATGAACAGGCTCAATCAAACCGAGCCTGCAACATTTTCAATTTTGCCGTGTTGGGCTTTCTTTAGGGATTCTGTATTTTATCTATATTATTATAGAGTTTGTAAGCGAACAGCATGGACCTGATCAGACTGCGCGGATGCGAAGGCTGGTCGGGATCCATGCTCGTCCAAAACCTATTATGTTGGTTTTGTCATGACGCAGCTCATATGTGAAGTGTATTACACAAAAACCATAACTCTTTTTTCATAGATTAAGAGTTATTACCCTTTGTAAATTTCAATAGTTAATACATATCCGGCCATATCTCAGATAGGTCTATAAATCTCATTCGCACATACGCAGAAAAAGATGAGCACTTTTGCAACATGAAGCGCTGTTGAAAATAAATATCAGCGTTACAATTTGGCCTTCATGTTAAAAGAAACATTCCATTCTGTAATATATGAGACGAGACATAGCTACTTCCGTTTCCGAAAGGACCCGTCCAGTTTAAAGTTTGGCTTGAGATCACAATGTAAAAACATTCTTTAAATAATATAAAACTTATTAATATCTCATATTCTAGCTGTGTATTTTAT